CAGCTTAAACACACTAGGATGCAAGAACTAAGAATGCCTGTGCTTGTTTCAATGCCTTCAGTCCCCTTATGTGTTTTTAAAATTATTATTTTTCTGGGGGAAATTTCACAAACCCCAGCCTGTCTTATTAACCTTCCTGAACCATCCCTGCTTCTTTTAAAATTAACAGGTTAGGCTCAGATAATATGTGCAAGGTGCTGTTGAATGATGTTTTCCTTTTCTTTTTAAATTCCTTTTTCTATCTTTTGCATAAATTGATAGTCATAATATAGCATAGCATAGCAGAGTGTACAATTACAATTGAGCTCAAGATTTATGTTGCTAAGGTTTATGTTGCAGTCATTAAATTAGTAACCAGGTTGTTAAGTAAACCTGGCTTCCCCATTGATTTTGCCTGCCAGGAGCAGAGGTAGAAATTAGCAGGTTCTGACCAGTTCTGTAGAACCAGTAGCAGAAATTTTGAGTAGTTCGGAGAACCGGCAAATACCGTGTCTGACTGGCCCCGCCCCATCTATGCTCCGCCTCCTGAGTCCTAGCTGATTGGCTGGGTCTTCTTTGGTTGCCCTGCACAGGAGAACAGAGCTGGAAAGCAGGTTAGTGGGGTGGGGAGGGAATGGGGATTTTGCAGTATATCCTTCCCCTGGAGTGGGGTGGAAATGGAGATTTTACAGTATGCTTCCCCTGCCGTGCCCACAAAGCCACAAGCCATGCCCACAGAACTGGTAGTAAAAAAATTTGAATCCCACCACTGGCTCAGGAGGTTGTAAAAGGTGATCCCACAACCCCGGGATACTGCAACCGTCATAAATGTGAATCAGTTGTCAAGCATCCGAATGTAAATCATACGACCCTGGGGAGGCTGCAACAGTCGTAGGTGTGAAAAACGGTCCTAAGTCACTTTTTTCAATGCCGTTGTAACTTCGAAAGGTCATTCAGCGAACTTTTGTAAGTCGAGTAGCTGCAGTATGGTATTAGAATAGCACATACTATTTGAAGTATATTTTAAAACGTGAAAGAAATGCATCCTATCTTAAGCATCCTGTCTGGACAAATACAGCTGATTTCACACAATTGTGGCCAAGAGGATTCTTCAGCTAACACGGTTAGAGGGCAGGAATACGCACTTCAGTCTTTGCTTAGCATCACTTAAACCAACCCTACACACACCCCTCCAGAAAAATATTTGTGGCTTTTTAATTGATGCAAATATGCACTTCAGGAACAAAAACAAAATTCCAAGCCGAGTCAAAATCTCCCTCCACTCGGAGGTAGACGTTTTGACTTTTGTCCATTAGTTTAGTGACTATTCAAAGTCACAGTGACCCAGAAAAAAAGTGACTTAGGATAGGTCCTCACACTTGCAACTGATGCAGCATGATGCCCTTGGTCATGTAAACAAAAATTCAGGCACTCGGCAACCCAGAATGTATTTACAATGATTTATGGCAGTGGTTTCCAACCTTGGTAACTTTAAGCCCGGCAGACTTCAACACCCAAAATTCCCCAGCCAGCTTTGCCAGTTGAAGTTGAAGTTAATGCTTTGGGTTTGAAGTTGAAGTTGAATTTCGTCAGTCTTAAAGTTGTTAAGGTTGGAGACCCCCGATTTACAGTGTTCCTAAAGTCATGTGATCACCGTTTGTGGCTTTGTCGGCCGGTTTCCGAGAACCAAAATCAACAGGAGGTGGTGAACTGGATTAGCTTAACATGATTTATTTAATGGCTGCATGATTCATTTAATGGCTGCAGTGATTGATCCGGAGCTCTGTTATTGGCTGCAGAGGCCTTCAGGAAAGCCTTGCCGGCCGCAAAAGAAGTTCCTAAAGGCCTCTGACAGTGAAAAGGAGGCCAGGGGCGACACACACAAATGAGGTTAGTCAGTTGGATGACATCCCCTGAAAATAAAACCTGGTGCCATTTTTTGGTGGCAAAAAATAAATAAAAGACAGTGTCTTATTTTTGGGGAAACGCGGTATTAGCTAGGGGTACAATCTGTCCGAAAAGAGATTGGGGTCTGGCCAACAATCCTATTTTCTAGCTCCAAATTTTAATCTTCAGATAGCTAAACAATTATCCCCTATTCTAAACCAAGGGTCTCCAAACTTAGCCACTTTAAGACGCGTGGACTTCAACTCCCAGAATTCCCCACCCAGAGTGGAAGTCCACACGTCTTAAAGTGCCAAGTTTGAAGACCCTTATTCTAATCTAAACCAACCCCTGTTTCTCCCATTTCCAATATACACGTAGGAAGGCTGCATTCCTGGAATCGTGAATTTCAGCTGGGCTGGCAGATAATCTTTCAAGAAAGACAAGAACAAGGAAGAGAAGAGCTTGTGGCACCACCATCTGACTAAGAGAAAAAGTTCCTGGGGAATTTCTGAAGACTTGTAGAACAGTGAGCCAGTCATGTCTAAATACCCACCCCCAGATTCTCAGCCTTTTGGTCATGGAATTACTCCAAATCACCATTGTTTATGGGGCTGGCAAAATTGAACTTTTAATAGAAGTGCCTTCTGCCAAGAAACGAGATGAGCAGTTCCTGGGGTTACATTCTTAAATATAGCAGGGTAGGAGTAAATGTTCAATTACATCAGAGGTGATATATTCAGCAGGTTCTGACCAGTTCTGGAAAACCACTAGCGGAAATTTTGAGTAGTTCAGAGAACTGGCAAATACCATCTCTGACTGGGGATTTTACAGTATCCTTCCCCTGCCACGCCCACCAAGCCACGCCCACAGAACCAGTAGTCAAAAAAATTGAATCCCACCACTGAATTACATGAAATCACAGAAATTCCAGGTGCAAAAGATAGGTCGCCCTCCAGTTACATTTAGGGACCAAAGTAACAATCACACTTGTGATGACCCAGGATGGGATACAAAACAAACACAGTCACAGAAAACAGGTAAAGCCCCTTTTATTCCTTCACTTTGCTTCCAAGCTCCGAATATTCTTGACGGAAGACAAAAAACTCCCGCGCAAACAGTTACAAGAAGAAGGAAAAAAGCAACAAAAAACCAAGCAAGGTAAGGGCTGGAGGACATCCACAGATAACACACACTGGGAAGGACGCCAAACTCAGAGAGGAACCATAAACTAGAGATATTTCCATGCTTTGTTTCCAGCACTTGCCCGTACGCATGTCCGTCCTCTTATTCAGTTGTCACAGTTGCAGCCCATGAAGAGGATCAAGGCCCTCTCCTCCCAAGTAGACCATGTCTGTCCCTTATCCTCTGCTCCCTACGTGCCCTAGGATGGATAGGGGATGGGCCTGGGTCCTCCTCTGACTGCTCAGCCGGCCTCTGCCCACTCCCTGTTGGCTGTTCCTCCTCTCCCTCAGAATCATCCTCCACCAGGGGCATGACAACACTGGAAAAAAAATGACTTCAGATTGGTCCTCGCACTTATGACCACCGAAGCATTCCCACGGTCACATTCTGGGCATTGGTAACCAGTGTGTATTTATTTACAATGACCACAGAGTCCCTGGGACACGAAGTCACTATTTGCAACCTTCCCAGCTGGTTTCTGACAGCCAAAGTCAATGAGGGAAGCTGGACTTGCTTAACAATGCCCGATTCACTTAGTGATTCGCTTAATAACCAGAGCAAAATGGTTATAAAATCAGGCACGACCCATTTAACAAATGCCTGACCTATTAGCAACAGAAATTCTGGTCCCATTTGTGGACGTAAGTTGAAGGGTGCAGGACAGGTTTGTCCCAAAGATGGATTTTAAAAGGGAATTACACCTAGAATAGGTATTCTGTAGGTAACCCGACAGAATCTGTTGCCTTCCAGTGAATCCTATTGCTCTCCTGATGTTTGCTTAGCTATTTGGGATGGAGATTAAAAGATTAGCAGAGTTGGAAGGGACATTGTAGGTCATCTAGTCCAATCCCTGTCCCTACACCATTTCTGACAGATGGCGGTACAGTCTCTTCTTGAAAGCCTCCAGGGATGAAGCTCCCACAACTTCTGAAGGCAACTTCTGTTCCATGGGTTGATTGTTCTGTCAGAAATTTCCTCCTTATTTCCAGGTTGAATCTCTCCTTGTTCAGTTTCCACCCATTATTCCTTGTCTGGCCTTCAGGTGCTTTGGGGAAATAGCTTGATCCCTTCCTCCTCTCTGTGGCAGCCCCTCAAATATTGGAAGACTGCTGTCCTGTCTCCCCTGGTCCTTCTCTTCACTAGACTAGCCATGCCCAGTTCCTGCAACCGTTCATCGTGTTTTAGCCTCCAGTCCCCTTATCATCTTGGTTGCCCTTCTCTGCACTCTTTCTAGAGTCTCAGCATCTTTTTTTATAGTGTGGTGACCAGAACTGGATGCAGTATTCTAAGTGAGTTCTTACTAAGGCTTTACAGAGTGGTATTAGGACCTCACTTGATCTTGATTGCATTCCTCTATTAATGCAATTTAGGATTCCATTGGTTTTTTTGGGTTGTCCATCACATTAGAAGTTCTAGGCACAAGGCAAAGTAGATAGAATGCAAGTGTTTTAAAACAGCAGGCTTTCCCACAGCTGGCTGGGGAATTCTGGGAATGGTCACAGTTAGGTCTAGTCTAATAAAAAGGAGTAAGGGGGGACATGATAGCACTGTTCCAATATATGGGGCGCTCCTAAAAAGACAAGAGTTAAACTATTTTCCGAAGCACCAATATGCAAAGCAAAAAACTATGGTTGGAAACTAACCAATGAGATCAACACACCTCGAACTCCCATTCCTCACCATCTAGCCAAAGCTGAAGAAGCTTCTTGGATGAGAAGTGAAAAGTCTTCAAAGAAAAACCAGAAAGTCCAGTTGCCTCCTGAAAAATCACCTTTGGGACAACCATGACCTGGATGACTGAGAATCTCCATCAACATTTTACCTAAAACTAAGGAGAAATTTCCAAAATGGTGAGCGCAATCAATCAATGGAACAACCTACCTTCAGAACTTGTGGATGTCCCATCACTGAAGGCTTTCAAAATGGACAACCATTTGTCTGAAATGATATAGGACCGTGATGGCGAACCTATGGCACGTGTGCCACAGGTAGCACACAGACCCATTTGTGCAGGTATGTGAGCCCCAGCCAAACTTACCTGCACTGCACATGTGCATGCCTCCCAGCTGATTTTTCACCCCGTTTGAGGCCTTCTTGGCCTCCCAGAGGCTTGAGGGAAGCCTCTGCAGCCTCGGGAACCTGTAAACAGGCCTTCCGGAAATACCGGAAGTGCCGTTTTCAGTCTCCAGAGGGCCTCTGGAGCCTGGGGGAGGCCGTTTTTTCGAGGGAAGCCTCTGCAGCCTTTGGAGGCCGAAAAATAGACCATTTCGGCACCTTCAGGCCTCCAAAGGCTACAGAGGCATGCATGGGGGGTGGGCGCTTTGCACTGTGGGTGTTGGCATGCATGCACACTTTCAGCACACCACAACGAAAAGGTTCACCATCATTGATATAGGATCTCCCACTCCAGCAGAATCATAGCCGGAAGGGACATCGGAGGTCTTCTATTCCAACCCACTGCTCAAGAAAGGGCCCAGGGGTGGGATTCTACCAGTTCGCACCTATTCGCTAGAACCGGTTGTTAACATTCTAAGCAGTTCGGAGAACCGGTTGTCAGAAGAAATTACTGGCCTAATCCTGTAAGGAAGGCAGGAAGGAAACATTCTGGTGTTGCTTACAGAAACTGCCTCTCCGTTAACCCTTATTCCATTCTTGGCAGGACTAGACTTCCTGTCTCAGGAACTTCTCTGGAGTTTTCTTTCCCCCTTTTGCTGGTACTTTGCTTATGTGGAGTGACCATTCAAAGTTACAGTGGCACTGAAAAAAGTGACCTATGACCATTTTTCATACTTACGACTGTTGCAGCATCCCCACAGTCATGAAAGGCCAGGTGAGGAGATGCGTGCCTCGATGTGAGTTGGCCACACCCAGCCAATAACATGGCCAAGCCATGTCCACCCAGTCACATGACCACCAAGCCACACCCACCACCTAAGCCACGCCCACAGAACCGGTCGTTAAAAAATTTGAATCCCACCCCTGAAAGGGCTCTTATACCACCCCAGCCAAACGTTTGTCCAATTTGGAAAACATCCAAGTGAAACCCCTTGATTTACAGTCCTGAAGTGGAATGGATGGAGAGAAGAAGTACAACCTGTGGAAAACAAAACAGGATTTTTCCAGAGGGCAGGATGCAAGAGGTTTCTTTTCAACACAAACTAGTATTTCTAGAAGCCAGCACAATACTGTAGTCCAATGACAACTTTAAGCGATTATTGTGTGCTGTTGGTTGTCACTCCAAAATCCTAACACAAGCTTTATAAAACAAAAATTAATTTTAAAAAACCCAAAGCATTAACTTCCTTAAAACAAACACATCCCTTTTTGTTTGAAAGCTTCTTTTTAAAATGTCCATATTAAACTATCCACATTTTAACAGCTGGGTGTTTTTGAGTTTGCTTAATTTCATATTTACTCTAATAGTTTATGAGTTGTGGCAAAAGAAATGAGTAATAGTAGCTCTTTATTTCTGCCTCCTCTCTCTCTCTCTCTCTCCCCAACAGTTTGTGGTTTTCAGGCTTGCAGAAAGCAGTAGTTGGCCCAATCTAAACATTTAGATTTGTATTTAAAGAAAAAAGAAAAAAAAATCCACTGAGATTCTCCAAAAATCTAATTCTGCAGCCAAGGCCATGTTCCACAACTTTACTGCATAGACTTATCCTATTGGTGGGTGTGTTTCTCAAAAGCTTCAGAATCAGGATTATCCTATGGATTTTCTTAGGCAAAACGGAAAGTTTATATGTTTCCGTATATAATTAAAGCAAGTGACTTTAAGGTGCAATATCAGGCTAAGAAATCAGAGTAAGGGGGGAAAAAACCACAGCATCTGTAGATTTACAGTCGTTTTTTTTATCCCAATTTAAATGGAAGGGAAATAAATAAGAGGAGGCAAGATTAAATTGGATGCAGACACAAACGGGCGAAATTTTGCTAGTGCAAGAGAACCAACAGAGGAAGAAAGAACATAGGCCAATATCAAATTGCTAAAGCAGCTCAGGGTGATTGCTTGATCTCACCTACAACAGAAATTTAGCCGCAGTGCCTACTTTAGCAAAGAGCTTTCATTACCCAAATACAGGCACTCCTCGACTTACAACCATTCAGTGACCAGTTGAAGTTACAAGGACACTGAAAAAAAGTGGACTCATGACCAGGTTTCACACTTGTGACCATTGCAGCATCCCTATGGGCATGTGATCCAACTTGAGATATTGCCAACTGGCACGGGCTTATGACAGTTGCACAGGGCCGTGCAATCTCCATTTGTGACCTTCACAGTTGGCGTCTGGCAAGCGAAATCAATGCAGGAAGCCAGATTGGCTTAGTAACCAACTGCAGTGACTCATTGAGCAACTGTGGCGAACACTAACGACAATCTTGGTCAGTAACGGAAAGGCTGGGTCCAACGGTGGTCGTTGAGTCGAGGACCACTGTATGCTCTCCCTCCTTCTTCCCCAGGGCACCAGGATATCTCTGCTTCCCGAAAACTGTACATGATTATTGCACCAATATTCCAAAATTCACAATGGACCATCAGGTTACGAAATCTCAAAACCCTTTATTGGTTTCATTTTTTTTTGTACATTCTTAAAATGAACGACATCCCATTTTCTTTGATATGTACAAGAATCTGAATAAGGCTATATATATATATGCCTTATATATATATATATATACATATATATATATATATACATACATACATACATATATGTATATATATATATATATATATACATACACATATATATACATATATATATATGAAAAAACCCTCAAGCACATTACTGCTTTATAGTGACCTCACAAGATTATAATTCCAGATGCTGCCTTCAGGTTCATGGCAGCATCTCACAAATCAGCTTTTATTTTTTTTTATATTTTTTTGGGGGGGGGGCGTGGGGAGTGTTGCTTACATGCAAATCTGTTTCTTTGGGGAAATAATCTCCGTCCTAACAAAGGATAGAGCAAGGCAAATACATCCATAAGGATTTGGAGCACAACCGAGAAGAAGACACAGTTGGCATTGCAAGATTCCCAAATATTTTTGTTTTCTCCCAGGCACCGTCCCATCCTGTGAGGGTCTCTTTTGTTGACCCCCCAAACAACATCCCCTTGCAGAAGCAAAAAGGTGGAGTTGTTTTAACAAGAGGGGAGAAAACAGCGTCTTTAATTTCTGAAGTTGCTGGGAGGGAAAGGGGCACACCAGGAAAGGAAGAGCCACCTTTTCAGGGACAACAGTTGTGCAGACGGAGAGGAAAAAAAAGGAATGTCTGCTCCCTGCTTAGGTTCCCTTGGAAACAGCATTTCAACAGGCACTTTAAAAAACTCTTCAAATCCCACCCATCCACCCCCCCTTTAATTCCCAAACCTAATGAGGTTAAATGGCTGCAGGGGTCCCACCTTTTGGCTTGCACTGAGTGAAGCAGATTTGTTTTTTTATTTTATTTTATTTATTTTGTATCCTGCCTTTATTCTTTTTACAAATAAGGCGGTGAGAGAACACACCTTCCTCCTCCTATTTTCTCACAACAACCCTGTGAGGCGGGTTGGGCTGAGAGACAGGGACCAACCCAAGGCCAACCAGCTGGCTTTCATGGCTAAGATGGGACTTGAACTCGCAGCCTCCTGCTTACTAGCCTGTTGCCTTAACCACTAGGCCAAACTGGTTCTGGAATTCTCCTGAGGGGCATATAACATACATACAGGTAATCCTTGCCTTATCACCATTTGCTTAATGACCGTTCAAAGTTACAACGGCACTGGAAAAAGTGACCTTTATGACCGGTTTTCACACTTAACGACCATTGCAGCGTCCCCATGGTCACGTCCGATCAAAATTCGGAGCCATGTCAACTGCCATGTCTTGTATTTATGACCGTTGCGCTGCCCCGGGGGGTCACGTCATCCACTATTTGTAATCTTCCAACAAGCAAAGAGCTGAAGGCGGAGCTGGATTCTCTTTAATGACCGCACATTTCACTTAACAACTTCATGAGTCACTTAACCGTGTCATAAAAAGTTGTAAACCAGGGCAAAACTGCCGTTGTTTTAACAACTATCACTGCAAATTGTTAAGCAAATTTTGGGTCAGGATGCAAGGCTCATTTAAAGAACCGTCTTGCTTAGCAACCAAAATTTGGGGCTCAGTTGCGTTGGTAAACTGAGGACTACCTTAATGTACAGTATATAAATCACATAATATTAAAAAGTTTACAATCTTGTGGAGCCACGTTTACTAGCTATCCAGGACCGTATGCGGCCTGCAGGCCGGATAAGCCTGAGCTAGGCCCAAGCCTATCCCTGTTTTGTTTTGTTTTGAATGGTTTCCTAAAGCATCGTCATAAAGGGAAGTCTTTGGTAGGGTTGACAAAGTTAAAATAGGAAATTTAGCTTTTGCCACTGCTGGCGAGGATGACATGTTGCAAAAACACCCCTCTCAACCATCCACGGGATAAGCAAGCCCCGAAAATACGTGAGATCCCCCCCCCTTTTTTTTTTCTAAAGAAGATGCAGCAACACAACAGACAAGATTTTTAACAAGGATGCCTTAATGATCCCATGCTAACCATTCACGGCAGGCATGTCCCATCCTTTTGGCTCGCCTAGGCTGCCTTGAGTGAAGAAGAGGAATTCTTGGGCAGCCTATAAAATCTTTAATATCATTTAATATATATATATATATTAAACGTAGGTGAACCCGGTGCCCTAGAGTTGGATACGATCGAGAGGGAGACTTTTTACCTTTTTTAT